GGGACACCCAGCCACTGTCCTGCTCCATCCCCACTGGAAGATGCTGGTCATTGGCTCACCATAGTGGCGGCTCTCCAGAAACCACCTCCAGACTGGCATTTCCTGCTTTCTTTCCATCCTGTCTAGAAATAAGCTGCGTTACACCAGGAAAGCACATGAGACATGATGGGGAAGGGACCAGGCTTGGGGCTGCTGAGAGTTTTGGGTTGTGCCTGCGGTGAGATGGAGGGGAGGCGAGCAGGACGAGGCAGGGTGATGGCACCTGCACCTCGGCAGCTCCGGGGGACCCAGGTTCCCATGTGAGGCTCTGAAGCCTGGTGGCAGAGGGGTGGCTGAGCTGCCACCCACCCAGCCAGGCAGTCACTCAGCCCCTCAAGGAACCACTGAGAGGAAATGGAGAAAATCAAGATCTTATGGCCCATTCTTTGATCTCCTCAAGTCCTCATCAGGGGGCAAACCAGAAACCCAGGGCTCTGTCTGCAGAGGGGAGTGCAGTGTTTGAGTCCCATGGGACATTTTCTTTTTCTGCATCCATCTCTCAACAAGGACTGGAGAAGGTTTTTGCAAGGCAATAACCACCAACACCTTGCACCTCTCCTTGCCCTGTCATTTCTTCTTTGTAGCCATCCCATACAACCAGAGCAGCACCCAAACCACCTCTGAAGCCCTCCTTCACCCCTTGCTCTTGCATCGAAGTGACAATGTTGTAAGCCACCCTACCTGGCCCCACAGCAGTGGGGGCTTTGCATGCAGAAATAAATCCTTGCTGCACTCAGGCTCCCACACATCCCCTGGCACTGGGGCAAAGGCATCCCAAAGACCCCTGTGGTCAAGGAACCCACTCACATGGTGAAAAGGGGCTGTTGAAGCTAACAGTTCCATGAAGAATTTATTTATTTATTTTTTTAAAGAAATCCATATACAAAGCTTTTGGGGGAGAATGTTGCTAATTTTATCTATAAAAAGATTCTCAAGTGTTTCTGGGAGCCAGTGGATTCGTTAGGAAGGGACGGAAGAAACAGGACTGAAACTGCTTAAACACACCGATCTTTCCTTCCTCCTCCCCCATTTGAAGGGGGAAATTTCCCACTTTGGGAGAAAACCTGGGCAAACAGCTGATTTATCCCAGCCCTCCCTTGGGGCAGGAGCAGGGAGGCAGCAGCAGCAAGGCAACCTCCATCCTGCCCATAAATCCCTCTGAGGTTGGTGTTATTTCATCCATTCTGGGCTTGAGCTGCCTGGTGTTGGCTCCCAGCATGGGTGAAACCATCCAGCCAGCCTGGCCCTGGCCCCACTGTGCCTCGGTTCCCCGAAGTGTCTGTGCTACCACTGGACCAGGAAACCCCTGGGGATGCTCCTGGGAGGCTTTTATCTCTGCACAGCAGTTGCACCTTGTCCCAAATACAGGGTGTAAGCAAGGAAGGTGCATCGTCTCAGCGGGGCCATCAGGGAAACTGAGGCACAGGGCAGGAGAGATGCACCCCAAGAAACTGCACCAACCTGGGGTGTACCCACAGCCCCTCTGCACCCTGGCACTGCCCAGGAACCCCCCCAGGCCAGCCCCAGCGATGCCCCTGGCTCCTTCTGGGTGCAAACTGGCTGCAGGCAGTGCTGAGACCTGGCAGACTCGTTTCATACAAGAGCAGCACATGGAGACGCTGCTCCTGCACGCAGCTCACACCGGGGGAAGCCAACCCCAGCTGCTGCACAGCCACGGCCAGGGGGGTCAGGCTGCATCTCCCCGTGGCGTTGGGAGGAGGATGAGGAGGATGAGGAGGGAGGGGGACAGGGCACGGTTTTCCAGCCAGGTCCCTCTTGGGTTGATTGACTCAGATCGCATTGATCCCGGTGTTATCAGGACATTTTATTTGCTGCGCAGGGGATGGTGAGAAAAGCCCCTGGAGGGAAGGAAAGAGCAAGAAGAAGTGGAAAACCAGAGGTCAGCATTTTCCCACCCCTCATAATGCTCTAGAGGGGGGCAAAAAGCCAGAGACCCCCCCTCCCTCCCCTCTTTCCCAGCAGCCCCAGCCCAGGGCCAGGCAGGAGCATCCCCAAAATGCTGCCCACAAGGCACGCAGAGGATGTGGTGCAAAGACCCCAGTTGAGGCACACCAGTCCCAGCTGAGACCTGGGATATTTGGGGTCTGGGACCCTCCTTCAGCATTGCTCCTCCTTCCCAAACCTCCAGCCACAGCCCCCTGAGAGACTCAATCTGAGAACAGGCAACTCCTCACACCCGTGGCAGGTGGCTCCGAGGAAAGGTAGCCGGTAAAGGCAGAGGGGCAGGGGAGATGCCAGCTGTGCCCCAGCGAGGTCCGGGCACCAAAAAAACATGAGTGGTGTGAACAGAGCATGGCCATGGGATGCCCCATAGCCAGTGAGGGTGCAGGGCCATTGGGTTTGGAGCCACAGGGAGCGATGTCTGGGGGAGGATTTACAGCAGGGAAAGTGCGCAGAGAGGTGGAGGAGGGAAATGTGCCCCAGCACTGGATGGGGTTTAAAACAGGGGGAGGGAGGAGGAGGAGGAGAGGGATGAAGAAGAAATGAATCTGTGCACAGGGACAGCACAGAGACCTTCACTCTGCTCCCTGCTGTCCCCACGGCAGCGCAGGCGGTGGCACGTTTTTGGGGCACATCACCGAGTCTCCTGCACTGTGCAGCCAAGCAGGGAAGGGGCTCAGCTTCTCACAAGCCCATCTCCCCCCCGCCCTCTTTTTTTTTTTTTTTTTTTTCCAATTCTTCTCATAAATGTCTTTCCACATCAAGGCCTGGAGGAAAACTGCAGCTACTGGAAACCCAGGGCAAGGTTTGCTCTTTGGGGACGTGGGGCTGAGCGAGTGGTGAGATGGGAGGGAAGGGACGGGACGGCCTTCCCGGCAAGAGCAGCCGTGCTGTGGGCTGTGGGGGGGTGCCTGGGGGGGCAATAATGGGGGGAAGGCGCCTTCCCCCTGCTTCCTCCCCCCAAAAAAAAATAGGTCAGGAACTGCTGCAGGGCTTGGGCTGGACCCAGCTCTCTCAGCCCCCCCCGCAGCAGCTGTGTCACTGGGGTTGATGTGGGGCTGCAAAAGAATGGGGTGCAGAAGTTAGTAGGGATTTGCACCCCAAAATGCTGTGCATGCACAGCCAGGTCCCCACACCTCACCCCTGTCCCCCAGCCGGGCAATGTGCCTGCAGTGGGGACATCATTTGGTGCTGCCCGGCCCCATGGGCTGGGTCTCTTCACCCCTGAGCCCACCCCAGCACCCCTAAACACCCCCTGCACCAGGCTTCCCCCCTCCTCACCCTGCATCCCACCTTTCCCCTTCCCGATTTCCTTTCATTGGGAGGGCTGCGGCCGGGCAGCAGCCTCCTCCCCGCACTCTGGCCTTGTTTCAATTTTATGAGCTTTTTCTTGCTATAAATATGGTTTTGAGAGCCCATTTATCAGGTCCCGCAGCTCTGGAGTCAGCCTGCCGAGCTGCCCATGACAGGTCAAAATTGACTTGTATGATATTAGAATTGCTATTGATCCCTTCGGCACCTCGCAACGCTCCCGGCTCCGTGACCCAGTGTCAGGCTGGGTGCCCCTCCTTCCCTGTCCCCCCCCCCCTCCAGCTCATCCTCCACCCACAGCTGGGACAGGGTCCTGTGCCCCGTGACAGCCTGGCACCCTCGGGGACCCAGTCACTGTGTCCCCCCATGGCCCTGGACCCCATTACCTCAATGCCTCATCTCTCCATGCTGGGTCGGGTGATGCTGAGCAGGATGCGGCCCCTGTGCACAGCAAACCTGAAGGGAAATCCCACCCCAGGCTGGCTCTCAGCCCTGTGTCCAAGGGTTTTGGTGCCAGGATTGGTGCTGCCCCACCCCCCGGAAAGCCCATCAGATCCCCTGTGCCTCAGTTTCCCTGCTTGCAAGCAGGCATCTTCCCACCCTTGTTCTCACGGGTTTCTGCACAGGACAAGGTGCAGGCGGCTCGGGTGTTGTTTTTATCAAAGTGGACGAACTCCAACAACAATTCAAGCTGAATTAGCCTGGTTCCTTCCACCCCCGTTTCCTGGAGGATCCGTGCCTTCGACCCAGCTGCCTCCTGCAGACTTTATAGATCCTGGCACGAACCGCTGGGGCCAGCCCTCGCAAGGGCGGTCGGGGCTGTGGGGTGCCCGCTGTGCCGGGCTGTACCAGCACAGAACCAAACCGCAGGGCTGTCCTTAAACAGCTTCCCAAAAGAGTGATTTTCACCCCCAAGGATGCTTTGCCCTTCTACCAAAGCAAACCAAAACTTTTTTTTTCCATTTTCCCCTGGAGAAGGAGACTAGGACATCTTGCTGGCTCTTCTCATATCAGAATGATGGGCGTCAAAGGAAAAGAGCAGGCAGCAGGATCAAACCAAGCAGGAGAAGGTCCTGCTTTGCCAGAGTGTCACCCTGCAGTGACAGGGTACTGCGGGCACTGTACAGGTGGTCAGGGCCCACAACTACATTCGTGGGAGACAAACCATCCAAGACCACACATGGTGAGGACACCAACCCTGCAGGAGTCCCTGCAGCCCTGGGGCTGGGGGAATACCTGGAGCAAGGTGGAGGCCATGGGTGGTCATGTGTGGTGGTGGCACATGGTCCTTGCGTGGTCACTTCATGGTCATATGTCATTGTGTGTGGTCAACCAAGGTTGGGCATGGTATTGAGTGGCCATGCGTGGTCATCCACGGTTGTGCAAGGTAAATATGGTCACACAAGGTAAATGTTGTGCATGATCACACATGGTCATGAGCAGTGTTGAGCAGTTGGGCATGGTCAAACATAGGCATGTGTGGTCACGCACGGTTGGGCATGGTCAAACATTGCATGGGTGTAGCTCACCAGCTCTGTGGGCAATACATGGCAGATCCAAAGTGAGATCTGGATTTCGGAGGAGTTTGTTTGGAGCCAGGACTGGCAATCGATCAAGGGGAATTTCCGCATCTTCCAGAGCAGCCCGGGATTAATTTATGTTTGTCTGAAGGACGCTAATTAAGCTTGTTTAAGAGAAAGTTAACTTTAATACTGTGATCTAGCTGATATTAAGAAGCTGAGGAGGAGAGCTGAAAGCAGCTGCTGCAACATCCAGGGCCAGCACCAAAGCCCGTGCTGCGGGAGCTGCTTGGCACAGCCCCGGCACAGGACCCTGCTGCCCTGGGGATGCTCCCCTGGAGAGCACCCTGCTGGCCTTGGCACCCAAGGGCTGCAGAAGGAAGAGCAAATCCAGCCCAAGGTGGGCTATCAAATGGAATAAAAAATACATTTTTTAAGTTTCTTGTCAATTTCCCTTTCCCCCACCTCAAAAAAAATATTAAATAGAAGTAATTTGATTTGAAATGAAAACCAATTTGAAATCATTAGCAAGTCGAAAGTCAGCAGAAACCAATTGTTCCTGGTCGTGCAGCACATTTGGGTCTGACTTCAGGCGTCTAAGTACGGCTAGAACATTTTAAGGTCAAACTGATGGAAATTCTTCGAAACAAAGTTGTTCCGGTCACAGCGCTCAGCTGCTTCGGGTGGCCCCATCCTAGCCAGCCCAGAGGTGCTGTGAGGGGGGGTCCCTACAGCCCTACAGCAGCCCCTCGGGATGCTCCAGGGGCTGCCACCAGGTTGGGGACACTGCTGGCAGCGAGGGGCCAGGCTTTGAGGGCAGGGACGCCGCTCATCACCCAGGGCAGAGCGACATCCATCGAGTCAACAAAAAATCTCCTGGCAGCTCCATCTCTTTTTTTCCCCCTTAAAGCAAACATCTTCATTACAGCTCGGAGTTGTTTAAATAAATGAATTAATATTGACAAACCATCAACGAGGCTAATAAATGATTAGTTAAAGGCATACATACATCACATTACGGTTAGCATTAGCCGAGGCTTAATTACTTGTGGAGAGGATCCCATTAGAGTAGGTGCTACGTTGCCGTCACCCTCTGCAGCACTCCTCCCCTGCGGGGCTCCTGCTGCGCCCTCGGCCCCGTGCCTGGGACCTGCTGGCGTAGGGACGTGGGATGCTGCGGGATACGGAGACGCTCAGGGATGCAGGATGCTCACGGACATGGGGATGCTCAGAGGATGTCTCAGTTTGCCCAGGCAGCAGCAGAGGAAACCCTCCCGGGATGCCAGCTCCCAGAGCAGCCCATCGGTGTGACGAGTGGGACGGGCTCAGGGGGCAGTGGTGACACTGGGCAGGGGTGGCTGCAGCCCAAGTAATTCGGCCGCTCGCTTTGCGCAAGTTGGTGAAACACCCAGCTCCACGCGGCCTGTGAAAAGAGACACCGACAAATAAAATAGGCAATAAATAATAATAACAATATCATAAAATTTTCAAATTTATTGAAAACCGGTCCACTCTCAGAATATTGGATTTTTCTATTATTTACACAGCTGCTGATTTTCTGTAAATATTTAATGCCCCATGGATTTTTTTCAAAGTACAAATCTGAACAATTTCTAAATTTAAAATCTATTGCACACCACAACCCAGCATGAGCCAGATCCTGCCACCTGCCTCCATGGGAGCACTCCCCAGGGCTGGGCAGGGACCGACGCTGCACCCAGAGGTGTCCGTGGAGGCTCCTAATGGATGGTGACATTTTGGGTCATCCTCCGGGTCCTTGGAGAGGACAGGTGGACAAAAATATCTTCCTCCCCATATATCTGCAGTTTGCCCAGCACCCAGCCCTGGGTGCCACCCAAGGCCACCACACTTGTCACCCACATGACACCGCCGGGACAAGGAGCCCAAAAAGAGAAAATTAAGATGAAAGGCAGCTGGCGCGAGGCGTGCGTCCATCTGCATCTCAGCTTCGAGAGGTTTGTTAGGACTAAAGAGGTGCTTTCATCCCTCTCCAAGGTGTGTAATGCATCCCCAGCTGGCTTTCATCTCCGCCTGCCTGATTGATACTCAGGGCTCTAATGAGCATGACGGGAAAAGTGGCAGAGGCTGGGGGGGGGGGGGGGGGACCCCTCTGCAAAGGTTTCAAAACACTTTTCTGTGTTGCAGCTAATGAGGGGACCGGGCGAGGGGAGATGGAGCGGGGGGTGAGGAGCTTAACGGGGGCCAGGGGCTCCCTGAAGGCTGATGGGTGCAGCTGCCCACCCTAGAGACTTTGCACCCCCCCCAGCTTCAGGTGACCCCCCAGGACCCACCTACCCTGGAGCCAAAGTTTCCTGTCAAATGACAACTTTGCTGAATTTTTGCATGTCTCCATACCAGGGAGCTCCGTGGGTGGCTGATCCTCCTCCTGGCACCATCTCCCCTGTGCCAACCCCTTCCTTGTTCCCATACTGGTGGCGGGCACCCCGTTATGCCACCAAAGCCACCTTGATGGTAGCCCACGGCCCAGCAGCTGCCACCACCCGACCTGCTGCTGCTGGGAGCTGGGCACTGTGGGGACTGTCACATCCTGCCCATCCCAGAAGCAGAGCAGGGACCTGGCTGTCACTTGCCATGGGGTCCCCAGCTGCGTCCCTGTGCCGTCACCCCCGTGCTGGGGTCTGCAGGTGAGCGCTGTTTCCCTGGGCTGGGGCCACATCCTTCACCCCACCGCTGCAGAAAGCCAAGAGCATCTGCCTCTGTGGGGTCAGATCCTGCCCTCCCCACCCCTACACCTCCTTTCCACCACCACCAGGACCCCGTCTGAGCTCCGCTGCCATTTCCAGGTATAACGGGCTGCTGAGCGATGGCCACATGCCGATACGGAGCCTGACAAATGCGGCCGTATCCGGGCTTCTCCCTCTCGGCTCCGGCCCATTTGTTTTCCTTAATGCCCCGCTCTGTCTGCAGCTGCTGGCTCCTCTCAGCGAGGAAAAATAAATAAAAAAAATAAACCAAGCAGCAGCTTCTGCAGAAATCCCGGGAGCTGGACAGTTTCAGAGCCTCGCTGCTCCCTGTGCCGCGCAGCCACGGCCGGATCCAGCCCCCGTGCGCCCACCTGGGTGCTGCGCCCAGGGGTGGCCGTGGCCTGGGACTGTCCCCTGGTCACTGCTGGGGTGCGTGGCACAGCCCGAACCTCGTGGGATCAAAGCAGTGCTGAGAGAGGGGGGATATTTGGCACAATGGTCCTGGGGGGCAGGATTAAACCCCGCACTCCGACCACCCAGCGCAGCCTCCCCTGGTCCCTGAGCCGTGGCCGTGCCGGGTGCTGGGCTGCGCCTCCAGCCCCCACCTCAGCAGCAATTCCCCAGCACCCGGGCTGCGGCCGAGGGACACCTGAGCCATGCCCACGCCGTGTCCCCTGCCCCGCGTCTGAGCTGGGATGCTCAAACTTCAGGGACCGGAGCTGAGGGACGAGGTGGCACCGGGGGTGTCCCCATGGCAGAGGGTCGGGGAGCCCCTCGGGACACCTCGGAGAGGCGCAGCGGTGACCGGGGGGGTTTATTCCCAGCTTCTCCCCCTCGGGGCCAGGCAGCCAGGCTCTTTAAATAGATCTGAAGCAGTCCGTGCACCTTGGCTTGATCGATCGCGGAGGGCTCCAAGCTGCTATCAGAGACGTGCTGATGAGCCAAGCGCTGCTGTCATCACCACCGCCCCCTCCTGTCCGTCCCCCACTACCTGCACAGGGACAGGCAGCACCCGGCGTCCTGCCCTGCAGCAGCTCACGCCAGTTGGACAGTTAAAAAAAAAAAAAAAAAAGCACACGTCATTTATTTCCCTGGCCAGGACAAAATTTGGGGCAGGCTGTTTGTGCAGGGAGCAGCCACTTTGCGCGGGCATTGGGAGTTTTGGGCTCAGCCAGAGCCTCAGGAGCCAAAAGCTCTGAGTGAAGCAGGGGCTTAACGCCACCCCCAACACCAATGCATTTGTGGTACCCAGGACCCATCCCTTCTCCCTGAGCTCCTGAAATGCACAACGGGGTTTGCCCAGGGTTTTCAGGCTTTGGTAATTCTTTGTGCATGGAAAAAAAAGCAGTAAATTCACTTTAAATCCTCCAAAATTTGCTTTAAATTCTCCTGAGATTTCCCAGAACCCAAAGCTTTACAAACCAAAGCCCAGCCTGGCCGTAAGCAATTTCCTTCTAAGCAACCTCAGCCCCAGAGCAGCCCAAGGTACCCTACAACCTCAGTGCCAGCCAGGGTCCCCAGCCTGCTGATGGGGACAAGTGGCTCCCACGATGGCCGGGCCACCCCCGCAGCTGGGGACAGCACCTGAGCACCTGCAGGCTCCTGGGGCAGAGAGGAATTGCTGAAAAGCAACGACGTCCTCTCTACCTCCTGCTCTCCCAGCCTGGTGAGTGGATGCTGCAGGATATTTGGGAGATGGAGGTTAGCCCCAGGCTTCAGAAAAGCTGTTGAAGTTCATTTTTCTTGGCCAGCAGCAAACACGGGTGTGTGGGAGGGCAGGGAGGCACGTCCTTGGCTTGCTGTGATGCTCTGAGCATCACTGCTCATGGCTGGGATGTGCACCCAGGTGCCCACACCTTCTCCTCCCTGCTTGAGGCAAGGAGAGATGCTTCGGAGAGGGGAAAAGCGCACAGCCCTGCCCAAAACAGGGCCCTGGGCTCGATGGTCCCACACAAGCCCAAGTCAGTGTTCCTGCCACCTTCACCCAGCAGGGTCTCAGGGATGCCAGCACGGTGCAAAGAGCTGGGAGATGGCACCAGGGACAGGGGTGCTGCGGGCACTGCAGCTGCTGGAATTTCGGGCAGCCCCGATGGCCCCAGCCTTCTGCCTCCCCATCACACGCATGCTCGGAGCGCCTGGCTGAGCGATCAATATGTTTTTATGTTACACTGGGAGACAAAAAAAAAAAAATGGGAAGGAAAGGGAGGAGAAGACGATGTATTTAGCACCGGAACAGTCGCTGATAATTGCCTCCAAGAGATATGTCTCAATACCTGGTGGCTGCTGGACCCAGAGATGTTTGCTGTAGCACTGAATCGCCAGCTGCAAACACCGGTGCCAGACAAAAGCAGCCGTGCATGATACAAGAAACATCCTCATTTTTCCCCAAAAAATCCCTTGTCACACTTACAGCAAGCTTCCTGCAGCCCCAGAACCATGTGTGCCCACAGACATCACCTCCTCCCAGGGTCCTGTCCCCTTCCCTCTATCCCTGCCCCTCTGCATCCCAGGACCTGCCTGGGTTTGCAGGAGCAGTCGGCATCCCCACACCGCCGGGGTCCCCATGGGACAGCTGCTCCCTGCTCTCAGCTGACAGCACGGGGAGCCCGGGGCCCTTCCCCTCCCTCCTTGCTTTTAAAGGATTTCAAAGCCTCTCATTTTCCAAGCCCAATTACTCCAGCACAATACCCCCGACCGGGCTCGGTGCACGCTCCGCTGCCTCCCCACTGCCCCATGCCCAGCGCCGAAAGGTGACGGCACGAGGCCAGCGCCGGCGGGATCGATACGGCGCCTTCAGCCCCTGCACCACCCTGCAAACCTCGGGCTCCTTTTGGAAAGGACTTTGCAGCATAAGCAGCATGAGTCGGGAACTGGCACTCGGTGGTTTGGGGCATTTGGAGGTGCTTTGTGTGCTGTGGATTTCCAGCAGTGTTGGTGAGGTGGGGCGGGCACGGTGACAGCCGGCACACGTGCACAGAGGGATGCTTCGCTGAGCTCCCAGGCACCCCAACTCTCTGCTGCAGGATTTCCAGGCACCATCACAGAGCTGCAGCCCGAGCAGCTTTCCCTGAGCAGCCCAGAGCCTCCCTGCTGCCATGGAAGAAGCCGTCCCTGCCCCATCAAGCCAAAAGCGCATCCGAGCTGTGGAGCTGGTGGGGTTTGGGCTCAACACGGGACCCACACTGTGGGAAGCCACCAGCTGGTGAAGTTCTTACACCTGCCTGGTCAACCCACCTCCCTTGCAGCCTGCTTGCCCTGCTTCTGCCAGGGCAATTAAACCAAAATTGGGCTTTTCCAGCTCTCTCAACAACAGCCAAGCCAAAGCCCCAGCAGACTGTCTGGAGAGGCTGGGACTGGTCTTTATCCAGGTGTCGTGAATGCTGAAAGGCCCTTCTTGAGTCTGGGATGCTGCTGGGCACTCCCATCCACCTGGTAATGCCCTTTTGAACAAAAATCTCCTCTGCCTCCACCACTTTGCCCCAGGGATGCCCCCAGCCACACATGCCTCGAGCTGTACCTGGTCTCAGCCCCGCAGAGCCAGCACGCCGCAGACCCTTCGCACCCCAGCCCCTCAGCGGGGAGCTGGTTTACAAGAAGAAGAGTGCTGGCTTCCCAAACAAGCCTCCCAGTCCACAACACATTTCCAGCCATACATAATCTAATATACGTTACCATAGCGCCAATCAATAACTCAGTA